GAGAAAATGTATGTAAATATTTCCAAGCTGAAATGGCATTGGTAGTGAACTCTTAACTGTAAAGCTAAACATGGTCGTTACCAAACGTACAAGAAAGCAATAAAAACACTTTTCTCACTCCTCTGTACAGAGCCTATGAAATATTGTCGATAAGCTCCACGCATCAATTCTTTTTGATTAAATTGTGCCAAACAACCAAATTTACTTCTGTATCTGTGCATGCAAACTAACGACCCAGATGGAAATGAAAACATAATTGAGAGTTATGTGAAATTGCTTTCTTGTATTACAAATTTTAAAGGATGGGCCATCTGCGGGCACTTTACTGACCTGACACGGCCAAGAAGTCATCAATAGTTGTAATGTCATCCACAGCCTCAGTCAACAACTTGACCTGTGTCTCCCACTGATCCTTGAAGACATCCATGTTCTCTAAGGCAACCTGACTTCGTGGACGAGCTGCCAACGTGCGAGCAGCATTAATCACCTGGGTGAAACAAACATAAAAACGACCCTTCAAATTTAAGGAGGAAACTTGAATGCTACCATACTGGATATTAAAATGTGTGGACCTTGTGAAGATTTCAACCTTATGCTGTTGACTTTTCTGATCTTACCTGCGGGCAGAGGGTCTCAATCTGTGCCACCGCCATCCGTACCATCTTGACACCTTCTTCGTTGTTAGACATGGAACAGGCCAGGTGAGCAACCTTTCAAAGTGAACATGAGATATTGGTCTTGTTGGCAAGAAACTTGGAAATTCTTCACAGCCTTTACTTGAGAAATTGAGATTTAATCCTTCCTTTTGCCATAGAGAAATGTTCTGTTGCTCAGTAAAAATTTCTGGAGTACGTGGATTTTTTTCTCCTCTTGACTGTCATGCGGTAAACGCTTGTGTGACCTACTATAGCAGTTCACTATGTTTAAATTGATTGTACCTCCACCAGTTTCTGAGCGTGCTCTCTGAAGACGCCAGCGTAGTGTTCAGTCTCCCTCTCGTTGCCGCTCTTAGCCGACTCGATGAGTACCAACAGGGGCATGTTGGTCTCCAAGAAGGTGTCAGAGACATGGTCGCCAACTGCCTTCCGCAACTGTGGAGAAACAGTTCAACTGGTAAAATAGCCACACAAAACTGCTTGCACTTCTGTTAACGGCACATACTTGGAGAGATTAGTCATAAGACACTGGGGTTTTGAGAAGATTACATTTAGAAGGCAAAATTTGAAATATTTAGCAACTCAAGAAGAATATCACTTCAAGTTTGTTTGCTAAGCTTAAAAGCCTGGCTTAAACTCTTTATTATCAACATAAAACTGAAAGATTGGATACAAAACTTTTGACCAACCTGTCTGCGTAGGTCCTTGGTCTTGCTACACATGTGATCGATGGCTTGATCTAGAGGGTCACTACGATCTTTGCGACCAGCCTAGTAAGAAGGAAATTGAAGGAAAAAATAACAAAACACCCTTCTACAACTGACAAGGATCTCTTCAAAGCCGTTCCAACTTAGAGTATCCCATGCTTCTCAGATTTTCAATCATACTTACACAGTCCATGTACTCTGACAGCAAGTCTTGTAGTGCCTGTCTGACAGCATTACACTCGGCTACAATCCTCTCCCGGTGGTTGTCTCGGGTACAGGATGAGTCAGCCATAAGAGCAGCTCCACTGATGATGCTCTCAAGTTGCTCCTCAAGAGACGGGCGAGTCCGCACCTCATTATACTCAGAGGGGCTCATCTTGATCTTACGCTGAATACAGGAAAGACAGAAGAATGATTCACAACTAAAAAGTCAATGCTGTAACCCAGTGGGGTCATTGCTGTTAAGGTTTATTTCCGAGTGTTGGTACAAGCTTAAATGATCTGACAGAAGACATAAATCATTTTACTATGGTTAGTTGAAAGGACTTACGTCAAGGTCATCCAAGGCGGCGATCAGCTCACCAGTTCCTTCAATGTCGGCGTGAAGTGGCTGGTCTGAGCGGGCTTGAGATACATTGGAGATAGTGTTCATAGCACCCTCTAGCTGCTTGACAACAAAATCGCGGTTCTCGCGAGCAGCTGGGATGTCAGGATGACGAAGATAAGCCTGTGCAACAAACATACCACAAACGAAAGTCTCAAGTACTTCTGGGGTCAGTCAAATGTAAGAATGCCTAATGCTCCGATTATCCATCTAACACTAACCGAAAAGTGGAAACACACGCCATGCAACCCTAGCCAAGGTTTGTTGTGCAGCGGGGGATCATGCCTGAAGTCAAAATGCTAAAAACGTAAGCAGTGCTGCAGAACTGAATCAGACACTGGGTTGAAAAAAAAATGCCAGTGTAGAATTCTAAGCTGAGCACTTTAGAATACCACGCAAGTGCTCAAGCAACCGCTTATTCTAGGAGTTGCATGGCTCACCTGGGAGGCTGTGAGGAGCATGGTGCTGTGTTTCTTCAGGTCGGCTCTGGCCGCTGCCATCTCGTCCCTCTGGCGTGGGTCCTTCAAGTCGTTCTGTCGTCTGGCAAGTAGCTTGTTGAACTCCATCATGTCCTTGCCGAAGGTCTTGAAGCTGGAGGCTAGGTCCTGTGGGTTGTTAGATTTCATGATCTTGGCCAGATCGCCTTCAACCTAGAAGGGGGGAGGAGGAATGAAGCAACATTTCTTAATATCTTGAGGATTTGGGAACAAAGAAAAAAGCATAACAAACTGAACTTACACTGTGAGTTGCACGGTATAAGGTTACTGCCTGCCTTAATGCATCATGAATCTGCTCTCAATCTATCAAAATCTACTCGTAGGTTTTGCAGGTTTTCAACAGATTCGGGACCATATAATCCTGCTACTGTGGCAGCCTGTAAGGTTGGTTGGATATCCCAACATTGTAAAATATGAGGAGTGTGCCAATGGTTCACTGATAAGTGTTCCATTGAGATGGAAGTGATTGCAACCCCCCCCCAAAAAAATCTCCAAACGGGATTAAATTTGCTTCATAATAGTCGGCACTCAAGTCAGGTTTCTGTATAATCAGCTCAAAGTTTGTCAACTTGTTTTATCATCAGACATTTTGGTCGTGCAACTTACAACTTTCAGGGACTTGAGCAGCAAGTGGACATCCACCATGTCGGCCATGATGAGGAGCCTGGTCACTGCCGACAGGAGGTTACGAGCGGCACGGGTCATTGCTCCCCGCTTCATGGAGGAGCATGGGTCATCGGCAAACTCAGATGAGGCCTTATGCATGATATCACCTAGGTAACCGATGCAATATAAATACAGATACACAAGATTATTACCACACATTTGTTGTTAAAAATTAAAAACTAACAGTCTGGTAACCAAACTCGCTCCTGCCTTTGACTGACCTTTTTCACGGACATCAGCCACCGTCTCCAGCATCTGTTCACGGATCTCTGGTATCTCATTGGCAATCTCCTCTCCCTTGAGGATGAAGGCCTCTGTTGCCTTTGCGACAGCTGCTACCAAGACATGAGCCTTCTTTGAGTGGCCTTTCTTTCTGTTTGACGGCTGGGTCTTAACCAGGGTCGTCACCTGTCAAAAAAATGCAGCTTCTTAAGTCACAGCCGTCGACAGACATCACTTTACAAGATGGCGTTACTGCCAACATGTCCAGCCTCCTTGTTTCTAACAATCAGGTCCTCAAAAAATCTGTTTCGCACAAACCTAAATTCAGCCCCTTAGAATTTGGGGGTTCACTTTCTTCTGATAAGGCCAACACTAACCTGCATGACCAGTGGCTCCAAAGTCTTCTCTACTGAGTAGGTTCTGATCTCCAGATTCTTCGGATCCCATTTGAAGATCAGACTGCCCATAGGGCTTCCTTTGGTGGTCATCCTGGATGCCTACTATCGTCCTCTGGAAAAGATCGAAACAAGAACCTCACATGAATGTAACACAACTCGACTCAACTCCCAGTCCAGTTGCCCTTCTTCAGAGTTATGCATGTGGCAATTTGTCTCAGGAAATGCACTGAAGGCTGTGCTATTTTACAAAGTACCAGCAAGTATTTCTCATACATGAACCTGTTTGAGGGAGGAAACTTGGGAGGTTTTTCTATTACCCTTTTTCTTACAACGGACACTGAAAATGAGATGGTCCTGAGTGTCCTGAACCATAGGACAGTTAGAATTCTGGTGCACAGGTATCACTGATGTATCCATGTAATGATATATAAACCATCAAGCAGTACTTTACAATGTTCTAACATAGTCAAATGTAGTAGGCAAAATACTGAAACATTCACTCAGAAAATACTTCAAATTTTTGGAGCAGTCTCATGGGGTTGTGCAGAGGATATCAAGTGATGTCCATGTACGGAGCTCATTCTCCACAGGACCATGGACCAAACTACATCTTGTCTAATATTATGAAACTAGATCACACGCAGCTCCAGTCCCATACTATTAACTGCAGTCAAGTTCATGACTGTATTGTGCCAGGTCCGTATTTTGCCACCTACATGTAAAGGTATTGTCAAGTCTGATTGGTGTTCACAGTAGGTGATGAAAAAAGGGACTCGTGACTACATGCATACATTGTACCGTCATGGGTGTTAGATCATGCAGCACAACTGGACCCTGGACTTTTAAAGATTTGGACCCCTAATTTCGGGAATTGAAATAAAATATTTCGCAATTCAATAAAAGTTGGTTGTGATTAATAATTAATACCTTGAGATGTAGGCTTATGTCAGAAATTCATGAAAGATGAATGTATAGCACACATATGCTTTAACGGCACAAATGTATGAAATAAGCCAAATCGCTGACGAGACGCTTATGAAGGTAGCTTCCGAGGCCGAGGACCCAAGCATACAGGCATGACAGGAACCAAATAAGCCTACGTCGGGACGTGTACAAACAATGTCCGAGAATTGGGCAATCCCAAAAAATCGCTGTAAAGCTGGACACATTTCCCCCAAAAAAACAAGTTAATAAAAACCAGTATCAAATATACCCATGTTCTTCACGCGTCAAACATGTAATTTTTATTTGACAAAGTGTAAATCAAACCTTTTTCGCCTTCAACTTCAATACGTCAATGGTCTATCTTCACTGTCAGTGTTACTCAGTACGATCAGAAACTGTTCTCGTACTCAAACACCAGGTGAACTTCCGGCTTGCTGTTACACTCAGCAAACGTATGTATTTTTACGCTCTAAAGTTTTAAGCATTAATTCAAAAACACAGATAATTTTCACATTTTAAACTGCAGATATCTTTCATTTTGTATGTTTTAGAATATTAAAACAGTAAATTACATTGATTTAACCAAAGACACAAACAAATTTTAAGTTTCTTATTTCACATCCTGAGGGAGTAGGTTTTACAAATTGAAGAGCAAAAGGCAACTGCTACATTCCAATCTAACCACGCCAAACAACAATCGTGAGTCACGTGACAGTGACTAATTCAACAAAAATTGATGACTTCATAATACACTCATTAGTTAATAAGATTAATTATTTATGCATTGACCAGATTTGTGCGCAGGTTGTTCCTTCCAGCCGTGGAGGAAGGAAAAGAGGCAAACTGGCTGTCATAACATCAGTTGAACTCAAACGCGCAAGCATATTTTTGGCTGGGAGGAGGCCAGCCCCAGAAGATGTCACCATGGAGCTTGCAATCAATGATGTCACTCTTGAAATTTTGCGAGAGGCCGTACGTACAGGCAAACTACATGTGTTTTTTTTAAAAATTTGTTGTTGTTTTGTTTTTTGTTTTTGTTTTGTTTTGTTTTTTTTGCATGTGCACCGTTTTTGGAAGGGGTAAAATGAAATAAACAGCTTTCTTTAAATATTCCTAACATCACTAAAACATCACTTCAATTAATTTAGACTTTGCGCGCCATGATAAAGCATCCATTTAACTGGAAGAGCGTTTCACTTTTATTTTACCTGTATAATTCTACACGGCAACCCCAAATCGTGTATGAACTAGACTTTTTTTTAATGATCAGATTAAAACCTAGACTTAGTAAGCCTAAGGCAAAAAATTGGAGCATCATCAAACTGTCAGTACCCGTGCTGTGACAGTGTGTGACGCTCTGCTAAACAAGAAGTTCCTATTTCACCAGTTTGTTCATGGAAGAAAGGGCCCCTTTTCCATGTGTTGAAAAAATGTGAAGAAATTTGTTTAGTTTTGCAAAGAATAAAAGACAACGTTTCATGCGGAGACACACACTTTTCAAGACACACAAAGTTTTGAAACTCCGCTCACAGCCTCCCACCAATCATTGCGATGCTGAACAGTCCCCCTTGCCCTACACTGTGGGCCCGGCGGCGGAAGGAGCGAGCAATCAAATCACACGTCAATCGTTTTGGGTCAAATTTGGCAATGACTTTAAAGGCGTCCCTGTAATCTGCAATCATCAATGTCTCCTACATAACAGTTAAGAGCGTGTTTGTGTCGAGGCAAACTTTCGATCCTTGGAAAATAAAGGAATCCAACGAACACAAAACTGCTTAGAATTTCCGCGGTCCCATCCAGCCAATCCCGACGCAGTGCCCTCAAATTTTAGTCGGGTAAAACTCATTTTGGGAATGGTCACATCTTAGTTGGTACTCCGATACTCTGCCACAGCCTTTCTAATGATATTTCGGATACCAGTGTTGGGATGCATGTGCGTGCACTGTGTGTGTCGCAATGAAAATAACAGTTGACTCACGTGTTAATCTTGGACCGAGAGCGGGTTGTGTGCCGTGCACGTGTGGCGTTACTTTTCCATTTTTCATTTGAAACAAAAGGCAAAAATGTCCAAAGAATACTTTTGGGGTAAGTACATACTTAAAATAACTTTTAAGCGTTTCTTTTTAACTTAAACGACTTGAGGGCCGACATGGCGGCCCGAGAGGCCAACAACAACCATGTCATGAGCTGCCACATTAGTAGTACCAGTGGCAGTAGGCATTCCACCGTCATGCATGTCATGACCATCAATTCCTTGCTTCATGGATCAACCACCATCATGACTATATGTCCTGACCTTGCTTAGGCATGAATTGATGCCAACATATTGCCTTTTCGTATACATTTTGTGTGTTAGGCCTACTCTTAGGCCTATTAATATTAAATTTCCGTGTTTGCTATCATGGCCATCATGGCTATGTTCACACATTTTTTTTTATTTAACTACTTAGGCCTAGCAAGAATTTGCATTCAACAATCACATTTTGAGTGTCTGAAATGCCATCATCCATGCAGATTTTTTATGCCTTCCTTACAAGTTACATTTTTAAAGGTGTTCCCTCATGTCTCGAGTGGCAGTGGTCGGGGAGGGGGATACTATCAACTTTTGTCACTTGGAAACTAGGCCCTATGTCCGTGTAATGTAATGTTAGGCCTTCCCCTGCAGCACCTTCCTCCAAAGAACAACCTGCCGCCCATCCCACTTTTAAACCTGGGGTGTATCTATAGCATAGACCTATGTGTAATATGTAACCATCATGAAGGAAGACATTGACTTCTTGCTGTCTTGAGCATCATTCCATGCCATGGAGAATGACCAATTAGGCCTAGGCTTATTAAACAATCTTGAAGTTTGATTGATTTTATCACAATCTGTGCAGGAGACTCATTGACAGGTTCAAAAAAGGAGATCAAGTGGAATCCTTCCCTTGAGGATGAAGATGATTTTGACAATCTGGACGGTGATGGTATTCAACACTTTCTCTTCCTTAAGCAGGTAAAAAAAAAAGCAATCTGACTGCTGTGGAAACCAGCTGCCTGTTGCTGACCCCTAGACGGAGAACTTTGCGGCTTCTTTCTCTGCCTTATCCACACCTCATCCATTGAATTATAGATATATGAGCCTCATCAAAATTTTGCAGCCAATGTTGCATGTGTAATGTAGACATACTGTACATAATACCATGACGATTATGGGCAATGTTGAAGTAAATAAATTGTAAACTGAAAAAAATCTGACATCAATCATTGCCAGGCTATCAGACATGTCAGAACAAGTCAAGAGGGGAGTGTTGCTGGGCTCTGACCAGCTACAGTGCATGAAACTTTATGCTATCTGTTATAGTCTGTCGAATAAGCCATTTGGAGTTAAAATTGAATAAAAATCTGGTGCACTGAGTTATCTGACTGCACATAAACATAACGATTTGAATTCCCCAGATTAAAGACACTGTTGCTATACCTTGTGATTCAGGGCAAGCTTTTGCATAGCGACCACCATCTCTGGAATGGACTGGTTCCTTTGTGCCGTTCCTATCCATTGAGAACGGTGTATTGTTGCAAGGCATCTCTTATGTAACTAAGCAAAAGCTTGCCCCGAATCACGAGGTATAGCAACAGTGGTTTTATTAAGGAGAATTCAAATTGTTATGTTCACGTGAATCTTCAAAAAGATCTCAGTGTACTAGATTTGGGTCAAAGTTAACTCGCAAAAGGCTTCTTCAACGGGTTGCGCATGAGCTGTTGTTGGATATGGTCGAATTCAGCAGACTTACAATATGTGCTGATGATGATACTGGGTCATTCCATGAAGTTGGGGCACAATTTGTGATGGTGTCAATTGTTACATGTGATCAGTAAAAGTGAACAGTTATTTCCCTGCATGTGGATTCCAAATAGACATTGTTATACATCTTGCAAAGCTGAATACAGAGGGGTGTGTTATTCTTACAGAGTAAATGACCTACTCTGAAGGTCATGACAGATGGTAACAGTTCTGCATATAACAAGGACACCGTCACAAATTGTGCCCAACCTCATGGAATGACCTTACATCATAAACACTGCGTGTAGGTTCAGAAAGTAAAATAATATGAAGGTATGTCTCCTTGCTGTCAAATGATCCAGTGCAGCTTTGTACAATGTATCATGTACAGGTTTGTTACCGTGAAACTTGAAGAGCGCCCCCAATCAGCAATCTTTTCTTATTGTATACATCAGGCACAATGTGGATCCATTGGGTAATCTCATTGATACCCCTGAGTGAAGCTTGCAGAGAGTAATTGCAGTGTCCTTGGTCTGGTTTTACGTCAAGTTGATAATTGATACGCTGCCAATGTAATTTAACCCTAACCCTCCTCAATCCTTCACCTGTTGGAGGACTGAGGAGTGTCAGGGTTAACAGCTTTATTTCAGCTATGAAGGATATGAAATTGTTGGTAATTACTGTTAATTCCAGTAGATTCTTGGATTTTCTTTTGTCTATATGATCTATAGGCAGTCCTTGGACCAGGCGCTGAGGAAGCAGAGAGGAATGTGGTTGAGATAGAAACTGACAATTTTGATGGTGATAGTGTCAAACAGCCTCTTTTCTCGCTGAAGCTTGGACTCAATGAAAGTGTGAGTTATAATACCTTTTACCCGAGTCAACAACCTTAGTCACTGAGCCAAATCCTGTAAAATTGTCTTCTCAAGTTTTTACGTTGACAGGAACCCAGCAGAAGGATTAACTCAACAACTTGCCTCAAAATTAGGCCCAATCTTATTATAACTGGTCAAGTTGCTGAAAGAAACTATTGGCTTAGCAAAATTAGGATTAACAGCCAAAATGTCATGTATTCTACATCTCTAGTGAAGAGGGCTGAGTCAATTTGAATAATTCACTATTTGAATATTCAACCTTAATATCTGAAATATCTGAATATTTAGTCACACTGACTGGCAGACTGTTGATGAACATACCATATACAAAATCAGTTGTAATAACGCACGCAGTTATGTTATTATCATTATAGTAGCTTCTCACATCTAGAAGTATCTCCTGCCACAATTTGGCAAGATTTAAGAGACAAACAATACTTCTTGCCCTGTTGAAAATTTCTATTCCTTTAAAATCTTTAATGAATAATTGACTTTTTGAATGATAAGGTTTCTGTCGCTATTCATTTGAATCTGCT